TGAGATGCGGGTGCAGTAGCGCTGGCAGCAGGGGCTCTGCCTTGCTGCAGCTTTCCCAGCTGAGGTCAGGAGGGATGCAGGGGCAGTTTCCTCGGAGGCAGAAGGGGGCAAGTGGCAGCAGGGCAGAGCTCCCACTCCAAGTGCTGCCATGCCTGCATCCTGCACCCCCTGCACCAGCTGGCAAGTGGTGGCAGGGCGGAGCCCCCACTCCTAGCGCTGATGCAGGCACGGGAGTGCTGGCAGCAGGAGCTATGCTGTCCTGTTGCCCGGAGTGAGCTGTGCCTGCATTGTGCCGCCCTACCCCACACCGGCTGGGCAAGCGGCAGCAGGGCAAAGCCCTCACAGCTCCCCCTGCCACAGCAGAGGCAGGCACACCTGGAGGAGCCATGGGAGAAGCCCCCATGGCTACCCTGCTCGGGGGCCTCTGGGTGCTTGTGGCAGAGCCCCCCCGCGCAGCGCAGGGCAGTGGAGATCGTCCGCCCCGATTGGCACCTGTGCAGCAGCTGCCCCATGGTGTGGGTGCAGCGTGGCATGGCAGGGCACCGTGTGCTGTCTGGGAGGATTGTTTACTTCCTTGTTTACTTCCTTTTTTTGTTAAAAAAACTGTAGATTACTGAGGCATGCTGAGAAATGCCCCAGGAAGCAAAGGCCAGCCAACTGTTTATTATTAGGACTTGCTGAGATGCCTGAAGAGCAAAAGCCTGGTTGAAGAGGCCCTGAGGTGGCAACCCGCTGCACCATGCCACATGGATGATTATTTTTAATTGCAATGGTTGTGTTAAAAATTGTACACATTGCACTTTTTTAACTATGTGAGACAGCTGTATATACTACTTATCCAATTAAATCAATCTCCTTTGTTAGACTACCTGCTTTTCTCTTCACACCTCACTTATTTCCTCATACCTTCAAAGGATCCTCTGGAACCTCTGGGGGGCTGCAACACCATAGTTGGGAATTGATGATCTAGGCACATAACTGATTTTTCCCCAGTCTTTGAGCAGAGTCTATTTGGCTCCCTTCTGAGATTTAGGTACCTAAATTCTACTTAAGTCCTATTTAGGTGTCTTTAGAGACCAAATTTCTAGATTCCAATAGGACTACACTGGCAGCTAAGGCAGGCACCTAAGAAACTCTCAGGTTAGGTACAGATGTTCTAACACCCTGAGGCAGAAATGATCTAAGTTATATGCTTTACTCTAAGCACCCTACAATAGATCAATAGTGAACAGACCATATGTTCACCCTGGGGGATGGGGAGGGCATGCAGGTTGCCTGTACTGGGTGAGGCCAGTAGGTTGGGGGTACTTCCACATGCCTCCCAGAGGGTTCCCCAGGTGTGGCCATCCCTGATTCTTGGAGGTTTTCAAGACCTGGGTAGGCAAAGACTTAGCTGGGATGATCTAGTTAGAATGGTCCTGCTTTGAGCAGAGGTTTGGACTAGATGACCACCTGAGGTCCCTTCCAACCCTATTTTTCTGATTAGTATGATTGGCTAATGGGCATGGCTTAGCACCCCTCCTGCCCCCTGCCCTGACAGTGTCAGTCATGGGTATGACAGCTGCTGGCATACAGAGGCAACTCCGCTCAGCCGTGTCCAGCTTTAGTCCTACTCCGTGGGGCTACACCAGCTTGCAGAGGCATGGGGGTCCATAAGTGGGTGTGTGTAGAAGCTCACCCAGGGACCCCCATACTTCCACAAGCTGGCATAGCCCCTGGAAACAAGACCAGAGCAGGGCAGGCCTCCCTGCCCCACTTCCCCCTGGCAGCATCAGCCACAGGCATGACATCTGCAGACATGCAGTGGAAGTAACCCTGCTTAGCAATGTTCAGCTCCAGTCTGGCTCCCTAGGACTGCGCCTGGTCACAGAGGCATGGCAGTCCCTGGGTGGGTGTGTGAGCCCACCCAAGGACCCCCACGCCTCTGTGAGCTGGCTGAGTCCTAGGGAGCAGGACTGGAGCTGAGCAGCCCTCCCTCCATCCCCCCTTCCCCTGGCAGCATCAGCCCCTGTGCTGACTTGGTTCTGGGAGACTCCTAGGGTGGGATAGCCAGGCTCTCAGAGCAGCCTAGTGCAGGCTGGCTGCTAGCCTGCCTCCATGTGAGGAGGGGTTAGTGGGAGGCTGTAAAGCAAGCTAGGATGCCAGAGGACAGCAACCTTACTTCAGTTGGGAGGGGATCTGGTACAGAAGTTTGACAGACAAGTCTAACCTAAATCACTTAAGTCTGATACCACATTGATCGTCTATATTAGACTGGGTTCTGCCATTTTTCAACCAGACTATGTGCACTGAACTTCTGGTTATGGGTGCAGACCTATTTCCAATCACTTACACTTGTGTAAGTGTAACACCTGTACCTGGCCTCAGGTTGAAAAGCAAGACATTAAGAGGTTTAGTTAGCTCCAGGATCATACAGGGGCTGAACAGGGGTTTTGGAGATCACAGTTTCAATTTAGCACTTGAAGTCTGACTAAGTCCTGTTTTAGATATCTAAGCTATCCTTTGGATCAGGCCCCCAGCTACTCTCACCTGGGACAGTGTTCACTAAGTTCAATGATAACACAATAAGCCCCCTCTTAGACTTGAAGTGATTAAAAAAATACCCTTATGAAAACTAGATCAACAACATTCTCTGATAAAGAAAAAACAAATCAATTATAATGATAATAGCATTATCTTCCTGGAGATCTAGGTAGTACAGGTATTCACTGGGGGCTGGCTACTTAACTCGGTAGTTGTCAATGTTTTCTGGGAGCAGGCCAAAATGACCCAATTCAGGTCTGAAGTGTGCTGGTGATAGGACCCAGCTGTTGAGACTGCTGCTTCTCCCTGCTACCTGACCATACTACAATTGAAGCCCCTGCCATCAAATGCAACCAAAACCCCACCAAATATTGCCAAAATTCACCACTGCTGGAATGCCACCAAAGACCCCTAACTCCATGGGCCAGATGTGGCCCACAGGCCATAAGTTGCTGACTCCTGGCTTAACCTATATAACCTTCAAGGGCTTCAGTGTGAAATCAAGATTCTTTAGAATGACCTGCTATTCCCTGAGTCCAGAAATTGTCAAAGATCTCTTCTTTTGAGGACACTGAAGTGGAATGAATAAATTCATGTCTCGCTCTGATTTGGTTCAGCCTTCTCAGTCTTTAACCATTATACCATTATAACATTGTCATGCTACTCTTCTTAATTCTTGGGCAGTCTACATCTTTGGTCATAATTTAAGGACAGATCTATAAAAACTTTATAATAAGTTATTAAAACATTTAGAATGTATTAAACAGTTGATTAAAGAATCCAACAGACTAACAGGTTACTCATAACCACCTATAGCACCTTTGACTAAGGTGACTATAATACTTCTAAAAACGTATTATCTACTTCTGCAATATAACAATAACGCAAATTACTCATTAACTCTTCACAGGCAAGGTTCTTTGAGTAGATATGATGTTTTTTATTAGACCAACTGAGTAGTTGGGGAAAAGTTCTTGACAAGCTTTCGGGCGCAGTCACCCTTCTTCAGGCATAGAAAGTCTCTGCTTGTCTGAGAGTCCAAGGAGTCCAGCAGAGATTCCCCATGCCTGAAGAAGGGTGAATGTGTCTAAAAGCTTGCCAAGAACTTTTTTCCAACTAGTCAGTTGGTCTAATAAAAGCTATCACATCTACTCAAAGAACCTTAACTGCCTATGTCCTTAGACCAACATGGCTACAATCAAAAACCCTCATTAACTCTTCATAACTTAATTATAAACATATCACTAAGAATAAAGTGTGACCGATTTTTCCAATGAGTGGATAAGAATAGCAACAGTGTAACAATTTAGAACTTCTTCCGGGATTTGCTATTATAATTATTATTGTTCTATTATTCTATTATTGTTGTTGTTATCATTTTGCTTTTATTGTCGCTGTTGCAATAGTACTGAGGAGCCCCAGCCATTGACCCTGGACAAACAGAATAAATAGATACCTTAATTTTTTTTTGCATACAACATGCCCCAGAATAAGATGCATATTGTTTTCTGAAAGGCAGAATGAAGAAAAACTGTCTTTCCTTATTGTATGTAAATGAGTCACAGCAACTAGGGAGCTGAGCCTGGCTCATTAGTCTGCTCCCTGTGGATCATGTGCAGTTACTTTCATTTTCACCGAGACTTTTAAGTGGCAAAATCAGCCATCACTGTATTTCCTTGCTTATAGTGTGCACTCCAATTTCCAGCAACATCCCAAAACCACAGAGCTTATCTTTTGTCTCCTCCTTTCCCTAAGAAAGATAAGAGCCTACTTTTTCCTGGATGCTGTCAGTGACTAGCCAAAGCAACAACATGAAGTGTCCTACCCTGAAGGATATCATGATTCTGAAGATCTCTCTCTGTGCTCCAGAAGCAAAGCATCAACCTTAGGGTTACCATATTTCCAGCATAAAAAAAAAAAAGAGGATGCCAGGGAGGGGGAGAAGGGAGGGGCATATG